TCAAGTTGGATTAAATCGCTCAATAATGACAGGTACATTCATTAATTGTTCATTTTATAATGCATTACACTTCTGCGTGTTCGCAGCAGATACATACAATCTAAAACAATATTTTATGAAGTATTTCGTAAGCAAACGATTAATAAGCGCGAAAGTGGGCGAGTCAAAAAATATCACTCCATTCTGTCAAATATTCTTGTCAAAAACGATTACTCGGGAAATTAACATTTCGAGTCTCACAATTAATACGATTAAATTAATACAATTAATCTGGTATAGTCTTCAGTCTTCCTCAGAACTCTGCAATTTATGTTTGTGTTATTTTATGTTAGGATATGAGTACAAAAGTACAAATCCCCATATTCAAAAATTTGTTTAATTACCAATTACGAAATGTAAGATATTGATTTATAAGATGTGATATTACTTGTCGTTAGTATATTTATAATCTTCCAAACATATTTTCACTCTCGGGAAATAATAAATTGAATATATTCTCTGCCTAAATGTATTGTGTTCGTATAAGCATAACTTATTGTTCTAATAAGTATGACTTATTTCACGCAAATAAAAACATATTTCGTAGAATATAATACACAAATTAATATTTTATCTGTAATATAAATTTAATATTTTAAACTCATTGTCATTTAAATTCTTGAATCTGTAGGAATTTGCATTAAAATCCCATTGCAAAAATAAAGCAAACATAATTGTAAAACATGCAAAAACTAAAGTAAAAAATATTTAATAAAATATAAACCTGAAATTAAAATTACACATGAATGATTACAGTATTCGTATATTAAATAATTTATATAACTGTAGATTTTTTAGCTTCACAAAATATATAATATCCTTTATTCGATTATAATATAATTAGAAATTATTTCTCGTAAAACATTCTCTGTAAGATTAGAAGATCCGAAAATATTTTAAATAAATGTTTATGAAATTTTTTTTCAAGTGTTCAGATGTGAAAGAGCAAATAAATTTTGTCTATAAATTATTATTATAGTAATACTTTAAAAGTTTTAATTTACGTGAAAAGTTCCTGTTGCGCAAGACTCCTCAGTATTGTCGAAAAATGTTATTTCTAACTATTACATAGTTACAGAGAATCAGTCACACGAGCAGACTTCTGTCTGAAGGAATCGCCTTGTTAATCACGGTTCTCCGACACGTGTTTCCAAGTCGAATGGGAACTTATTTTTGAAATAGGTTCCTTATAGAACAGCTGATTTATTTTTGCTTACGAGGAATCACTTCATGCTTATCGCCGTCTCTTGTGGAAAAGAAAATATAATTCAGAGAGACATGTATTTGTATATTTATATGTGTGTATATATAAACCTGTGTTTGTGTATGTACGTGTGCGTGTTTGGATTTTTATATCTACTTTTCCCCAACAGATGGCGAGGACCGAGAAGTGATTTCCGTGAGCAAAATAACACCAGCTGTCTATATAAGAACGCTATTCCAAAAATTTGGTTATAATCACACCCGCGTCGGGGTTACCGTGATCAAGAAGGCGGTCCCCCAGTCAATGGTCACTACGACTGTTTGACTGTAACTATACAATATAGCTTAGGCGTATTATTTTTGGTAGTGTGGGGTGCTCGTGCTTCGATGTACCCCACGGCTAAACTAAGTCAAACATAAATTGTAACATAGTCGTATGCGTGGCGAACGTCGGACGAAGGCGGCTGACTCGGGACTCGAACTCGGGATCTCCATTTTCGGGACAGCTGGACCCTTGACCACGGTGCTATGCTGGACCTACGATCTAAGATGTTTTTTTTTGTGTACTTAAGCTTCTTGGTCGACCGGTCAGCAACGTATTTTTGTTTCCGAATAGGTCGTTTACTTGAACTGTCACTTTTAGATTTGACGCAGTCGTTGGACATAGCTTACAGAGACGTGTAAAATCAGCAATAAATGTGTTTATTACATGAAGTGGAACTACAGGTAAAGCTTGCTATAATAATGGACGCACGTGTATTAAATAAATATACATATATATATTTTTTTTATAGAAAAAATATATATATTATATTCATATGTCACTTTCTGAAAATCGATCTCTTTGATATCTGTATTCAGATCACGGATTTCACCATCTTTTTTTAATGTTAAACTTAGTTTGCATTTTTATTTCGCATTTTTTATACAAAGATAAATTCTAGAATCTCATGACATTCGGAAAATTCGATCAGGTATGTATCGATATTTGAACTTTGCATTTCTGTACCATGCTTGCTACTGTAACAATAGGTTTTACTCGTAAACGAAAAATACGATCGATACTAGACAAGATTTTTATTTTTGCCTTAAAAAATATATTGTCCTATATACTTTCTCATAATGAGATCATTTATTAATTCTCTGTAATTTAATGAAGTCAAAATAAAAATTTTAATTACAAAAGCTTACAAAAAAGTGTAGTCCAGAAAAAGTCCGCATTAATAATAAAATTTATTTAACAAAATTAGATGAACAAGTTTTGACAAATAATAAAAAAGTAATGAAAAACAAAACTTTTATCTCGCTATGATTTAAATTCCAGTTGTCCCATATTATGTGTGTACCTTCAAATCATTTAGATCTTAAGAAAAATGAGTTTGTAAAGATAAAAAAGGATAAGCGGTCTTAAAAGATACCACCAACCGAGAAGGAATTTCTTAAAGGAATGCTGTGACTTTGTTCTATTTGTCACGGTATTTCTTTTCAATAGCGTTTTCTACAAATGTTCGTGTTTGATCTCGATGTCTATTTTATTTTTAAGTTATATATATATATATATATATATATATATATATATATATTCAATATGTTTTCAAAATATTAATTAATATTAATGATTTAAAATTATATGAAACGAATCACATGCAGTCTGAACGAATTATATCTCGTTAAACTCTTAATTTATATCTTGATAAAATATAAACGTAATGATAGAAAAAGGGAAATTAATAAAGGAAAATTAAAATAGTACATTGAAAAAAATTGGTTAAATTAACAAGTATTTAGTTCAATACGTTCAAATGAATCATTTATTTGAAACAAATAAATATTTATTTGTTTTGAAAAAGATTTTCTTATATCAAAAAAATATTTTCCATACCAAATCAATATTATTACGTAGTTTCAAATAAATGATTTATTTGGGAATATTGAAATAAATACTTATTCGAGTTTAATAAATTTTTTTTCAGTGTAATTTTTAATTAATATTGTAAAAAGGGTTATTTTTACGAGTTTTGTTATATTATAGTAACAAATATGTGATGTGCTAGAGAACTTTTATTGCAATTAAAATAAAGTATTATATATTGTTTCGACACCAAAGATTCCTTTTGAGGGTTGAAAATCTTGCACTAAAAGAAATGACTAAATTAATAAATATTTATTTCAACACTGCCTAATAAATTATTTATTTGAAAAAAATCAATATTGATTTGTTTTTTGAAAAGGATTTTCTTATATCAAATAAATATTTTTCACGCATCAAATCAATATTATTATAGTTTCAAATAAAAAAGTGATTTATTTGGAAATATTGAAATAAATACTTATTCGAATTCAATAAATTTTTTTTTCAATGTAATAACATACTTTATTTTTAAATAAAACTTCCAACATGTCACATATTGTACACTGAAAAAGAATTTGTTGACTTGACTAAACCTTTCAACAAAATATTATTTTGTTAATCAAATAAATATTATTAGTTTCAAATAAATGATTTATTTGAATGTATTGAACTAAATACTTATATAAGAATGAACTAAATTTTTTTTAGTGTAGATGCAAAAAATTAAAAAAATGAATTTATATATAGAGATAAAATAAAAAATACATTATATAATAATAAATGTTCTCTTGTCAATTATATTAATTTTATTTTGTCGAATGTTTTCTCTTTATCTTACTAAATAATATACACACATTGTCCCTCGTTTTACACACATATTCCACTCAATCTCGAGAGGATAACGATTCAAAGCAAGCAATGTGCAATAATTCCTCGTTAATAAACGAGGGAATGCAGTAGCATGGCGAGGCGGTTCCGATGCCTTGTCACAGTTCGACATCAAAGGTACCATCTACTTGTTGGCTTAAACTCCTGGCAAGATTTTCACGGTAATAAATAAGTGGCCGTTGTACGGTCGTCTCCTGAAATTACGGAGTTTCGGACACTGCCGAGAGCCCCGAAATAAATTATCCTTATAGTCCGTGAAACTGAGAGCTATGAAAGACGGATGGTTTAACGCGGCAATTAAAAGAACTGGGGCTCCCTTAATTACACCCTAATTACACCGCGTTAACAATACGATCGTTATTCCAACCGAATAGCACTTTCAGAAAATTGAATCATTCTTTTCGACGAATACTGCATCTTCTAATGAAAATTATTAGGTGCAAGAGAAATGGAAAATAAATTAAAAGAAATCATTTTTTATTCATTGAAAATGGAAAAATATGGATTAAAAATTGTTATTATTTTTTATTTTAAGCTACAGTTATATATGTCAATGATAAGATATGATAAGAAAATTTTTTTCCCTTAAATACGGAATCAAGTAGAATTAATTCGACAATATTAAAATTTTGTTGTGGCAATTATAAAATTTGTAATTATAAATTTCTGTCCAATAAAAAATCAGAAATTCGATAAATTTTCTTTATTTCAAATAATTCGAATATTCTGAATTCTTCTAATGAAAATTATTAGGAACAAGAGAAATGGAAAATAAATTAGAAGAAATAATTTATTATTCATTGAAAATAGAAAATATGGATTAAAAATTTTTATTATTTTTTATTTCAAGCTACAGTTATGTCAATGATAAGATATAAGAAAAAATCAAGTAGAATTAATTCGACAATATTAAAATTTTGTTGTGGCAATTGTAAAATTTGTAATTATAAATTTCTGTCTAATAAAAAAATCAAAAATTCGATAAATCTTTATTTCAAATAATTGGAATGTTCTGAAAATGCGAGCATATGGCTACAAGAAGTCGATACGAAAGTGTGTTGAGTAGTGTACGAGATTATAATGTTCGCGAAACTTTGGCCAGTGCACGAATTGGGTTTCGTTCGCGGAAAGTCGTTTAAGAACAAATAAACGTCAGAGACGTGTAAGCCCCCGATATTAAGGTCGTAATAAAATATAATCCACATAACGTTGCAGAGTAGACGACATAGTTTTGAACATCGATCTGGCACCGACGTTCCTGGATATTGCTGGCGTCGAAACGCCACCGCAGATGGATGGTCGTTCCTTCAAGAAACTCTTCCTAAAGTAAGTGTACAGTTGGTTCTTTGCCTCGAGATCATTCATTTCAGACGTTCTGTTTTAATCCTTTAGCTTAATTTTTTGCAAAACTTTTAATTGGAAAAAAATTTAGAAAAATAGTTTTATTAAATTATTTATATAATATTTAAGAAAAATAATTTGATTAAATATTACGTAAGTGAAATAATGATTTATTACGTGGCGTATCTCTGATGTCAAATAATTTGCAGTTGTGTGGACGTAGAGCTTAACACTCTTAAATATCCAACTTTAATGCGGGTCACGTAATCGGATTTCGCAAGTCCATAGCGAGTTTAAAAAGTACTATATTTTATTTCTTGTAACTTTATTATAATCTATCAGAACTTTCTGATTTGATTAAGCGAAATCACGTTATTAAAGTCTGCTCTTTGCTCTCTGGCACCGCTTTGTGTAAATTTTACTCTGTACTCTGTAGCGAAAATGAAAATTTCCATCTTGTGTGTAATTCCGTTGAAATTATTTTAATTATATATTAAGTATAATTAATCTAATTATAAATTTTAATTTAATTTTGTAATTATTAATGTTCAACAAAAAAATTTACCGAAACGAAACTAATCGTTTCTTATCATTTTTTGAATGTTGAATACAAATCTGATGTTTAAATTATTCCATCATGTCACAATTTAAAAAATTTTTAATTAATATTGCAAAAAGGGTTATTTTTACAAACTTTGTTATATTATGACAATATGTATGACGTGCTAGAGTACTTTTATTGCAATCAAAATAAAGTGTATTGTTTCGACACCAAAAATTCCTTTGAGGGTTGAAAATCTTGCACTAAAAAATTACTAAATTAATAAATATTTATTTCAACACACACACACACACTGCTTAATAAATTATTTATTTGAAAAAATCAATATTTATTTGTTTTTTGAAAAGGATTGTCTTATATCAAATAAATATTTTTCACATCAAATCAATATTATTAATTTCAAATAAATGATTTATTTGGGAATATTGAAATAAATACTTATTCGAATTCAATAAATTTTTTTCAGTGTAATAACATACTTTATTTTTAAATAAAACTTTTCCAACGTGTCACATGTTGTACACTGAAAAAAAATTTGTTGACTCGACTAAACTTTCAACAAAATATTTTGTTAATTGAATATAAAAAAATATTTAAATATATAATATATAGCATATTAAATCTAACAAAAGTATATTCGATTTAAATACTAATATATGTTCAATTAATAAAATAATAATTTTGTTGAAAGATTTAGTCAGGTTAACAAATTTTCTTTTTTTTTTTACAACTTTAATTAAAAAATTGTGACGTGATGGAGCAATTTAGAACCCGGATTCGTATTCAAAAAAGTATAAAAAACGCCTAATCCGATGAAAAAATTATTTTTGTTGAACAATATTATAATTTACATCTCGTTATACATATACAGAATGTCCTAGAAGAAATGGCTGAAACTAATCAGCTATCATTTTTTAATGCATGTAGTTATTGAGAAAAAAAATTGTGTTGAAAAGAGGAAAGTCTATAATTGTTAATGGATATATAAATAAAATGTATACCAGTTTATTTTATTGATAAAAACTAATGAAAAAAGTGTTAATAATCATATAAATTAATGATAATATTTTCAACAGTTCCAAATTTAATAGCAGCTATTAAAAAAATCGTTAATAACATTAAAGATGACATGTTAATAAAACTTTTTACGAGTTTTCGTAAAAGAACAGAATTTTGTACAAATTCAAACACAGTTGAAAAATTTCTGTTGAATTTAACAGAAGTTCCAAACGATACACCGAAATTTTTGTGTTAATTTAATATAATATGGATATGTTAAATGGAGACACGAATATTGTGTTAATATTTTAGCACTAAATAAATGCAAAACTTCAAATAATTTAAAATAAATTTTGTATAAAATTAACATACTTTTAATGTAAAAATTAACAAAAAATATGTTAATTTTAGATTTTATCATCTTCACTTATATTATAAAATAGAAAATCAACATTTTTTCTGTAAATTTTAACAGATAAATCCTGTCACTGATAAAGCAGAACATATTTATTGTGTAAAATTAAAAATAGATGCACATTGTGTTATTTTTATTTTTTTTTTTTTAGTTTCTTTAATAATTCTACATTTGAGTTCAATTAACAGAACAGTAATATGTTAAATTAACACATGAATGTGTTAAATATTTAACACAAAAATTTTCACGGGGACCGTTTTTAACAAGTAATAAACACAAATTTTTCTACTGTGAATGGTGCACATTTCGCAAATATTTATCATTATACATATGTAATTATTAGCTCTTTTTCATTGTCTTTTATCAATCAAATAAACTGGTATACAAATAACATTATACTTAAAAAATGCATGCAGCTGATTAATTTCCTATATGGGACAGCCTGTATTACGCGAATAAGCGTAATCGTAATATCTGAAGCTTCTATGTGCCATCGCGTTCCTCGTTTCTAAATGAGGGTCCTTGTTGCAGTGGCAAGCACGGCAGAAGATTGAAGTTCAAGTGGCCCGATACATTCCTGATCGAGTCCTCTGGTCGCCGTGAGACTCCGGAATCCATCGCAGAGTCGAGGGCGCGGGAAGCCAAGAGGCAAAACGCTACTCAAGCTAAGCAGTCATCGAGCTCGACACTTCCGGAAGAGAACGACGATATCCCCGATGCGGATGCGGATGCGGAAACGGAGCATCGATTTACGGAGAGCGACATCGGAAGCGATCAGGATATATCGGACGATGAGGACCTCGAAGATTCCATTATCGACGAGACAAGTCAGTCATTTGCTATTATAATATCAGAATTTTTATTTCGTTCAGAAGTTTTTTGGGGAAATTTTGTCGCGATGTAAATTGTATACAAATTTTTATACACGAGCGTTCGAATTAAACCGAAATTTTAAGAATTATATACAATTGTATAATTCTTCAAATCTCGGTTTAATTTGAACGCTCTTGTGTATAGAAATTTTTATATAATTTACATCGCGACAATATATTTCCAAAAAAATAAACTTTCGAACGAAATAAAAATTCTTTTAAAATTATATAATATAACAATTTTTAAATTATAATTCATATCTTTTATTCCTTATAATAATTCTTTATCTTTCAAATTATAATTATTGTAAAATTTTCTTTTAAAATTCTTAAAATCTTGAAATATGTGTGTAAAATACCTACATTATATTTGGAGATTTAAAAAAATTTTTTAATATAAGAATTATAATTTAAAAGCTAAAAATAATAATTATATAAAAGATAAGAATAAAAAAGATGAAAATTATTATATGTAAGATAAAAATGAAAGAAAAGAATTAAGAATTTATATATATGCACATGCAAATGATTAATCAATATTAATTTATAAAGTTATTACACTCGACGAATTATTGAAATTTATGAGATTGTACAGATTTATATAATTCATTTCATTGTGAATTATTCCAATATTAAAATCGATTAATGGAAATGAGCCATTTAGTGGTTGACATCAAGCAATTCCTCTTTTTTATTATTCAAAAAATTTAATCAAAATGTGCTAATTCTATATAAATGGACATTTTAATCGATTCATGTGTTCCTGTTTAAAGCATATAAGAAGAGTTCAAGATCAGAATCAGATTTGCTTGAACACTAACAATAAGTCAATTATATTAATTATAATTAATATTGATATTAATAAATTATTGAGCTATAATAATAATTATATAATATAATTAATATTAATATTGATATTAATTATATAATTAATACTTACTATAAAATAATAATTTAAAATAATAAATGTCACGCATATCTCCAACGATGATTTACGATGTAATGATTTTCATCAGTTCTCTTATCATTCTAAAATATCTTTGATATAGTCGCATAATCGGATTTCAGTTCATGACAGTAAATAAATCGATTTCAAAAAAATGTGGCTAGATCCATCGATTCGATTCGAGGGCAAAAACTCTCGAAACGCATTACAAGAGTTGCCGTTACAGCCAGCTGCTGTAATATTCCGTATATTACGTGTACAAGCGTGGAAGAACGAGTTCTCTCCCTGATATGGATTAGTATTAGCATAAATACCCGGTTCCTGGGATTGACAGGACGCATCCTACGTCCTGTTATACATCTTTCGAGATTATCGGCCACTTTGTCACCGGGATATTTTCGATAAAAGAAGACCCGGTGTCTCCAAAAGCGATGCAAATACACAGGAATGCGTGTGCCTCGCGAGAGAAGATCTTTTCTCAAACTCGTGTAAGGGATACAACTCTTGGTTGAGTTATCGCAGCGAAGAGGTGGTCTTACAAGCGGGTCTTCAGTTTCTTTTTAGGGATTCTTGCACAGAAACACACGACGTTCAAGTTCTAATCCTACTTTATTGCCGTCCACGAATAGTACTTATATATATATATAAAAGCGCAATTTATTTTCTCACTCTCGACAGAGTTCGCAATAATAACGTCGGACAATTCTTCTTTATCGTCGCGGACGTAAAAAGCTTCAACCAAACTGAGTTTCATTGCTCTAATATCGCGTCATCTTTAATTTTACAATTGTCTGCGTCCATTTAAATTTTCGTGTTAATAGCTGTAATATGTTTCATATGTCATAAATGTCTCGCGATCAAAAATCCGTTTTATTCTGGGACCACTTCGGCCAAATTTCTTTCCTCTGTGAATGACATCTTGCATATCTTGCATTCAAAAGTGGAAACTTTTTACAAAAGAAGAATCGTGCATATTTAAATTTCTCTGATAATATGTTACATATTTTTTATGCTGATATATATTTTTATGCTGCGAAAATTATTGGCGTCATAAATTTCTTTTCTATAAATTCGCGGACACATGTATGTCAAAGAGAGAAATTAATTAGAAAAGGATATGTATTTTCCCAAGTTTGGATTTGCATTTCGATAATAAAGTGCATACCAGAATTAATTTTATAAAAAAATTTCTTATAAATATAATCTTTCTTCATTTTTTTATTAGAATTAATTTTATTAAAATTGTTTCCCATAAATATTTTTGTTGCCTAAATTAACTTTACAAAATACCTTTATCACTTTAAATTCCTTAATTTATTAAAATATTATAAATTCGTGGACATGTTGATGAGAGAAATTAATTAGAAAATTATTTCTACTCGTATTCTTTCAAGTTTAAATATCCGCGAATTTATTGAACAAAAATTATGAAGCTAATTCTGGCAGCATAAAAAATTGTCTCAAATATTTTTATGCTGCAAAAATTGTTGGCTTCATAAATTTCTTTTCAATAAATTCGCGGACACATGTATGTCAAAGAGAGAAATTAATTAGAAAAAGATATATGTATTTTTCCAAGTTTGGATTTGCATTTCGATAATAAAGTGCATACCAGAATTAATTTTATAAAAAAATTTCTTATAAATATTTTGCTGTAAGAATGTCTTTATTAATTTAAGTACCTTAAGTTATTAAAATAAATTCGTGGACATGCGTTGATGAGAGAAATTAATTAGAAAATTATTTCTACGCGTATTCTTTCAAGTTTAGATATACAGATCCGCGAATTTATTTGAAAGAAAATGAAACTAATTTTTGCAGCATAAACATTTATTTTATATTTTTGTAAATCAATTTTATAAAACTTGTCTCAAATAAATATTTTATTCTGCGAAAATTAGTTTCACAATTTTCTTGTAAATAAATTCGCAGATGTCCATTAAATTATAATTTGAATTAATTCAATTATAATTTAAATGCTTTAATCGAAAAGATCCTTCATTACAAAATCACGTATTTATTTGTACCCTGAATCTTCCAGGTTCGGATCCGCATCTCGACAACAGGGTGCACTCGCCCTTCGCGACGAAGCACGAACGTCTCGCGGCGGAGTGCTCGCGACCGGAAGCGCAGGCCGACTGTCTTCCGGGACAGAAGTGGCGATGCGAAAGGGACGGACACCGGTGGCGACGACACAAGTGCAGATACGCGGTGCCTACGCCGCAGAGGGTGTCCTCCAAGAAGTGCGCTTGTTTCACACCCCACGGAGTGGTCTACACGAGGCTCGAATCCAACGATTATGACGGGCAGAGATACAGCCCCCCTAGGGATCATCGACTTGCGGATCCTTATGATGACGCGAGAGGATATGTCAGCAAGCGCGGTGAATATTTCTTAGCTGTGACAATCCTATATAAGTTTATATATTTTATCGTTGATAAGAAAATAAAGGAACCAGTACAGATAAATTCCTCAAGAAAATTTTAAATGTTTAAAGTCAATTTCATTTTTATATTTAAAAAAATTAATTAATACAATATTTATTATATATATATTATGTATAAATTATATTATTAATATTGATAATAATAATATTAATATTAATATAATAATATAATATTTATATTCTAATATTTATTATATATAAATTAATATAATATAATATTAATACAATATAATAATATTAATAAAATTAATTATTAATTGTTATAAAATTATTTGTGTAAAATGATCATTTGACAATAGGCAAGCGAGAAGTGTCAGACGAGGAGTTTTTCGATTATTTCAACTTGGAGGACGACCGGGACAGGCGTGCGATCGACGAGGAAGATGACGAGAACTTCCTCCAGGAGTTGGATATGTTGGCACAGGAAGTGTACGAGACTGCACGAGCCAGGTATGAAGATGATATCACATCAGATATCGCGACGTTGGCGTAAATTTATTACGAAATGGATGATATGCACGCGTGATTTGCATTTCAGAGATGGCAATGAAATAAGAAACATGGACGTTCGTGACGATGAAAGCAACCGGCAAGATAAACCCGTCCTCGACTACCTGGATTACGGCTACACTATGGACGACTTTGATCTCACCTTGGATAAGGTGATTAAAGGCCGTCTAAATGTGGACGACGTCGTGAAGAGGCACCGGAGAGTACGAAGGAGCGTCACGAAGAAGGATCCTATAGAGCACGTCACCAAGATCATGGAGAGCATAGAGGAAGAATTGGATGACCTGAAGGTAAGATTTGGTATCAAGGAATCTCTCTCACAGTACAGCTATTTCGCGTATCGTCGCGCGATAAAAAGGCCGATTTGCAATCTTCTTATCAATAGCAAACTCAAGTTCGTCACTCATCCGAGATAGAGAAGTCGCCAAAATGTCTGGTTTTGCCGGAAGGCGGCGTGAATTGCACCGAAGCCGTGTACCAGGATCCTAACGAATGGCGGATATCGAGACGAGAGATCGAGCAACAAATCCGGGAGATGCGAATGCAACTAGAAACGTTGAAGGTAAATTAGTACTGATTAATTAATTAATTAATATTCTATTAATAATTAATATACATTTAATATTTAATATATTTATGTAATATATATATATATATATATATATATATATATATTTAGTATATATTTTAAAAAATATATATATGTATATAATAAGTATGTAATTATTAATTTTTTAAATGTATAGGGTGTCCCATAGGAAATTGCTGAAACTAATCAGCTGTCATTTTTTAATGTATGCAGTTATTGAGAAAACAAAAATTGTATTAGATAGAGGAAAGTCTGCAGTTTTTAATGGATATAAATAAAATATTTGTATAATAGTTTATTTTATTGATAAAAAGTAATGAAAAAAGTGCTAATAATTACATAAAATAAACTAATGATAAATATTTTCAACAGTGCCAGATTTAATAGCAGCTATTAAAAGGATCATCAATAATATTAAAAATGGCATGTTAGAAAAAGTTTTTACGAGTTTTCGTAAAAGAACAGAATTTTGTACCAATTCAAATGGTGTGCACTTCGAAAATATTTATCATTAGTTTACACATGTAATTATTAGCACTTTTTTCATTACTTTTTTTCAATAAAATAAACTGATATTATACAAACATTTTATTTATATCCATTAAAAACTGCAGACTTTCCTCTGTCGACACAATTTTGGTTTTCTCAATAACTGTATGCATTAAAAAATGACAGCTGATTAGTTTCAGCAATTTTCTATGGGACACCTTGTATATATAATAATAATTAATTGTGCTAATAAACATCTTCGCAGGAGATTCGCCGGCACTTGATGATCAAACGACCCCAGTTCGCGGAAAATGAGGAGAAGCTCGCCGACGCTGAAGAAAGCCTCGATTCGCACAAGATTCATCATCATCCGCCGAAGCCTCACGCGAGTCGTCATCATAAGAAACACGACAAAGCTGCTCACACCACCACGGATCGCGACGCAACTACGGAGTCCATTGCTAAGATCGGTACAACCCTAAGTAACGAGAGGGTGTCGTTGACGACGATTGAAGGGAAGCTGGATAAGTACGATACAACTCCCTTGGAGGCCTTCACCGCCGAAACTTTCGTCGAAACGTCAACGACGACGCTCAAACCGAAGAAGACGACCCGTCGTCACAGGACGAAGGAAACGTCCGCGAACAGGACGGAAGTTGAAGAGGACAAGACGCAGAGACGCAGAAAAGTGCATCATCATCATCGTAAAAATAACACGCTGCTGACCAATAGTGTTCACGACGATATTCCTCACGCGAACACAACCGATATCAGCGACGTGGCGTCGTCTACAACCGCTCAAGATCCTGCAATGACTCGCGAGGCACGAAGATACACGACTGTTCCTACTACGGTCGATGTATTCAGGACCAGCAGCGACTTCAATCAAGATCGCACCACGGAATCAATCGCGATTACCGAATCGGGAACGACCGGGACTTCGATGTACACGACGGAAAACATTCCGCGAACCAGCTCCTTCGTCGGGAAAGGCTCGAGTTCTAATCGACCTCGAAATACATCCCTGACACAGACTACCACGCCACTGCCGAGAAAGTATTCCAAGATACCAAGAAATAGAACAGGAACTCTGGGACCAGCTAGGATAGACGTCACCATTCTCGAAGCTCCCGAGAGGAAACATAAACATAGTAAAGATTGCGAATAAAAAAATACTTCAGGGTGTATACTTAAGAAATACTCAAGAGATACTTACAATTAGAAATAAATTCCTTGAGGATTCCATGATTTTCCAGGTACTTTTGTTCAAAATTCCTGATAAGTTAAAGTATTTTAAATAATATTTAGAATACAATTTTAGTTTATTTGTTATACATAATTTTTTAACATAAATAAAGTATTTTTTTAATATAATAATGTAATATAGTATTATATTATAATAAAATATATTTCGATATATACTTTCTATAAAATTTTATTATATTTTTTAGTTATATTTGTTAAAACTATATTTTAAAATCAAATCATGATAATTCCAGGATTTTATAAAGTAGAACAAAATTCCCTGAGAATTCCAGGTTTTTCCAAAGAGTATACACCCTGTATTTATGATCTTTCTGCTAGCTTCAACTTCATCTTTGATTTGTTTCTCATCGTACCATTTTTAATCCAGGTATCGCAACCATCAACAACAATAACAGCCGGTTACCGTTGATGAACAATAATCCATCGGAGGCACGACACAGCTGTTACTGCGCGCCGGACACGAAGAAGGACGAGAAGGATCTAGCGAGGGAGGAGAGACGCAGATTGAAGGAGGAGCGTTTGAAGAAGAAGGAGCGGAAGCTGAGGAAGAAAGCCAAGATGGAGAAGGAATGTCTGACAGAGAGAATGAACTGCTTCGAGCATGATAACGATCACTGGCGAACCGCGCCTCTGTGGACCGCGGGACCATTCTGCTTTTGCATGAACGCCAACAACAACACGTACTCCTGCATACGTACCATCAACGCGACGCACAATTTCCTTTACTGCGAGTTCACGACTGGACTGGTGACGTATTACAATCTAAGAATCGGTGGGTATACCTGAAAAAAGTCTTCGGACGCGACAGCTCGAGGGATGAGAGACGAGACTGAAGATATATGTCTTCATTTCCTCAGATCCGTTCGAACAGTGGAACAGAGTGTCGTCTCTGACATCTTCCGAAAGATCGTATCTGCACGATCAACTGGAGCATTTAAAGGGATGCAAGGGAACGTGGGACTGTACGATCGGCAGCGCTAAGGAGGCCGTGCCACAGTTGCAACAACATCAACGATATAGCGCGAAGAGAAAATATAACGATGCGTTCGGTACGTTTTCGTGAAACATATTTATACGTCATATATTTAGAATGTAGAACGTAAGAGTTCAGCTATCAAAATTTGACGAACTTTTATCATAATTATTTTAACAGAAGATGTATTTGCACCTTCGACATTACAAATTATACGCGAAAGCGAACTCGGCGGCCCACTGAATAAAAGACGGAAGAAGTTGAATAAGTAAGAGATATAATTTTTAATTTTTTTCTCAGAACAATTTAAGGCTCCTGGGCCCTCGTCGACCATGTTGGAATTGTGACGTCAGAGGCGAGAAAGTATACGATAAACATTTTTACGTGTCGTTTTTAGATAAAAGAATATTTCGATAAAACATCACTTTAGATGACTTTAACACTTTTAAAATTTTTTGAAAATTATCTTTTTTTCTTTTTATAATCAAGCAATAACTGTGATACGAGGCTTGATCTGTAAATAGTCTTGCACATGGATACTCATTTTGCACGACAAAGTCTGATATCACAATTATTTTACGATTGTTGATTTACTGTCAAGGGGAAAAATATTTTTCGGATTTTAAAAATGTGCTAAATCCATTTAAAGTTGTGTTTCATCAAAAGATCTTTTTTATCTGAAAACGACACGTAAAAATTTTCAGCGTATATTTTCTAATCTCTGACGTCACGCTCTAACATGGCTGCGGTTAGTACTAGGAGCCTTAATTTAAATATGTTTGTGTATTTAATATGTAATATATATATATATTTTTTTTTTATTTTTTTATTTTTTTAATTTTAGTTGGAACAGGCGCAATAGAAGATGGCAAAATAACTGGCGACATCATCAAGAGACAATGAATCCCCGACGTCATAGTAATAGACATCAATATTGATCGATATACCTTTTTTTCTTATATATACGCTTCAACAACCGCGTGAAAAATGCCTTAGGTATATACATTTGATTTCGCGATGCATTTAGTAGCCTAATTTATTTAGTGATAAATATAACAAAGACACCATGGTGATATTTAAATTAATCTTTCGATCCTGCATATTAGATGTTCATCATCCACATCATAGCATGTTTTCAATGTAATATTTTGTGGCAACTATTGCATTTAGCTATAGGAATTTTACGTACACCACAGGTGTGGAGCATACTTTTAAATTTATAGATATGCGAATTTTATATTATTAAAATTACAATTAAAGACATATAGAGACATTTCTATTTTATTTCTTACTATTTATGAAAAATTATTTTATCTTTTTGAAAGTTTCTTTAGAAATATTTAATAAGCAAATAAAAATATAGGGAAGTAAAAAAACTTGTCTAATCATATTTCGAAATTTTCGAGATATACGTGACATGTGTGTAATTGCATTTCTTCGTAAATTAATTAAATACTATTACTATTTTCCCCAGTGTGACATATAAACGTATCGACATAAACTAATGACAAAATATACATCTTTCGAAAATTTTCTAATTGCGATACTGGAATCAGCTGTGTAATAAAAGACTGTGAACGCACAACGAAAAAGAGTGACTCGATCTTTTCTTGCCAATTGTATGATCTACAAATATTATTATTTGCATAATAATCGGAAGAATTTATCCAATGCTGCCAATTTAATTTTTAAACTCTCCTCTATATTGCCTTCATATAAAATATTGTATATGAAAATACAGATGCTCTTAAAAATGCACTGCCAAAAATTTATCAAGTATTGATATTAATTATATATATTGATAAATATTGATTTTTAAGACCAAGAAAGATATCTAAACTTTTTAAGTTGAATGTTTTTCAAGATCACATGAAAATTGTAAATATCATTGTACGTAATTACATAAAATTTTTATTTGGAATTTCTATTTTAATTATATATATTTATCAGCCATTTTATATTGCTTTAATAAATGCACAGCTATTTTAGCAGTAGAATAAATAATTATTAGCAATGTACAATATTAGGAAAAATAGAATGCTGGAATGGGGGGAAGGGGGGTTAACAGAATTACTAGATAACATTGATTAAAAAAGAAAAAAAATATAGTACACATATGTGTATTTCAACATATATATTATATTTCTGATTAAAACATAAGTTTTTGGTAATTTAATTTGTTAATTAATTTGTCTTCGTATTTCGCGAACTTTTTAATGATATAATTATACAACATTTTATGATCATTTAATTTATTGTTTAAGATATTCTTATTGTAATATTACATAAAGACTTGACATCTTATGTAGCAATAGCAATTAATTTTCTAATCAGCATTCTATCTTTCCTAATAAAACTCTGTATCGTATATTAAACTGTTATTCATTTATTTTCATCGAAACAAATGTAATAGGAGGAAACAATGTATTCAAATCATCTAGAATGTAGAAAATAAACTTTAGATAATAAATTTTGTCTCTGTGGTATAAAATACTACATTTCTCTCTTTGACCAAAGAGAGAAGAGACACATTAAACTAAAATGATTATTTAGTTACCACAGGAAATCATATATACATGTGTATGTATATAGGCAATGAAAAATAGACAAATAATTTATGTTTTCAAATTGTAGGATTGAAATCATAGGATGTTGAACAAATTGATGGAAGAAATAATTCGACAAATATTTTTTTGTATTTTGTATGCATTAAATTCTGTAATAAAATGTTACTTTTCAGAAAATTAACAAATTTATATTAATTAAAGCACAGCATAGCTTCCTATCATCCTTTCGTTAAATATTATATGGAGGATAACAAATTTATGAATCATTCAAGAAACTTAAAAATCAAGTGGATCATCTAATTCACTGCAAGTTTCAAAAATGTTAGCAACGTTGTTGTAATCCTCGTTAGGTTTTGTATTATCCTGCATATTGCATTTATCATCAATATTGGAGTTATGGTTAAAGTTTGTGGTACGTAATCCCTCTGTCTCATTGTCAACATCCTCACTTTCAGAATCAACATCTAAATATTATTCAAAACTAAAAACTGAATCATTATTTATATTATTATTATTATTATATTAAAATTTCTTACTTGATGTTACATTGATGGCTGCATTATTGAACACCAAATCTTCCACATCTTCGAAACCTTCTATCTCTGACGATCTAATACATGTTGTCCATTTATTCTCACCAGCGCTGTCACAGTCAGATTCTCCAGAAATGTTTGCAAATGTATCACAAGCACCGTCATCTGGTCCAGAAGGTGTAAAAAATGTATCATTTGCTTTCATAGCATTCAATTGTTGAACCTGAAGACGACAATCTCGTCCAGATCCTTGAAAATATATCTAGAAGTAAAGATGAAATTTAATCATAAAATATATTAAAAGTTATTATTAATGATTAATGAGCCATTGTCATAATTAATATCATTAATGATGTTTCAATATGTACTTGCTTTACGGATTGCTTTGCATTGCACACCTTGCAGTTCCATTTGGGTGCTTTTTTAACTATATGCACCTGTAAAAAGTAAAAATACAAAAATATAAGAAGATAAAGAGTAAAGTTATAGCAAATGGTAATATTAATTATTTTTTTATTTTTTGCTTACTTGATACATTTTGCAAGAATAACAACACAAAATATTCATTTCTTGCGGCATCGTTAAACACAAAAACCTCTTCAAATTTGAAAACAAATCGTGAGAGAGAATTGTGCAACTTTAAATCTCTAACAAGTGTAGCCAACATACAAGATGCAAAAAATAAATATATGGAGAGTGGACTTTTTACGAATAAACCTATGATGATGTAATAAGATGTCTTATTACATCATGTGAATAAACCTATTATAATCTTATAATTATGATAATAAATTAATATTTGATTTCGCGATGCATTTAGTACCCTATAATTTATTTAATGATTAATAACAAGACTATGATAATATTTAAATTAATCTCTTGAACCTAAAAAATGTATATACGGAGAGTGGACCTTTTACGAATAAACCTATGATGATGTAATAAGATGTCTTATTACATCATGTGAATAAACTTATTATAATCATATAATTATGATAATAAATTAATATTTGATTTCGCGATGCATTTAGTACCCTATAATTTATTTAATGATTAATAACAAGACTATGATAATATTTAAATTAATCTCTTGAACCTGCATATTAGATAGATCTTCGAAATTTTACATTATTAGAATTACAATTAAAGATGATTCTATTTTATTTCTTATTTATGAATAATTATTTTATCTTTTTAAAAATTTTTTTGAGAAATTTTATTTATGGAATCAGCTGTGTAATAGAAGACTTGAACGCACAACGAAAAAGATCGAGTAACTCGATCTTTTCTTGCCAATAATAATTGTCTGATCTACACGAATATTATTATTTGCATAATAATCGGAAGAATTTATCCAATGTGCTGTGTGGCAATTTAATTTTTAACTCTCATCTACATTGCCAAAATATATGAAAATGAAAATACAGATATGCTATTAAAAATGCTCTGCCAAAAAATTTAATCAAGTATTATATTAATTATATATATTGATAAATATTGATTTTGAGACCAAGAAAAATCTAAACTTTTTAGAATTTTTTTCAAGATCACGTGAAAATTGTAAATATTGTATGTACATAATTATATAGAATTTTTATTTTAATTTTATATATTTATCAGCCATTATTGCTTTAAAATGAATGCACAACTGTTTCATCAGTAGAATAAATATAATTATAATTAGCAATGTACAATATTAGTAAAATTAGAATGCTGATATGTTTAAAAGAAAGAATTACTAGATAACATTTATTGAGACAAAAAAATAATATATGTAATACATATATGTGTATTTTAACATATATATTATATTTCTTAAAAACGAGTTTTTTAATGTCTTTTTATTTCACCAGCTTTTTGATGATATAATTATGCAACATTTTATGATCATTTAGTTTATTATCTAAGATATTCTTATTGTAATATTATATAGACTTGAAATCCTATGTAGCAATAGCAATTAATTTCTAATCAGCATTTTATCTTTCCTGACAAAATTCTTATCAAAACAAATATAATAGGAGGAAACAATGTATTCAAATAATCTAGAATGTAGAAAATGAACTTTTTGTGTCTTTGGTATGAAATACTACATTTCTTTCTTTGATCAAGGAGAGAAGAGATATTAAACTAAAATGATATATACACACACACACACACATATTTATATATATATATATATATATATATCATTTTAGTTTAATATCTCTTCTCTCCTTGATCAAAGAGAAAAATGTAGTATTTTATACCACAGAAACAAAGTTTATTTTCTACATTCTAGATTATTAATAGGATTGATATCATAGGATGTTGAACAAATTGATGGAAGAAATAATTCGACAAATTTTTTGTTGTATTTTGTATGCATTAAATTCTATAATAAAATATTACTTTTTAGAAAATTAACATTTATATTAATGCACAGTACAGTTTCCTATTATCTTTCCATTCAATATTATATAAAAGATCAGAAATATAAATCACAATTTATAACTTCATCTATTAAATTCTCACATGTAATGGGAGTCAGATAAACAATATTGATGATAGACGCAATATCCAGGATAACACTGAACCTATCAAGGTTTCATCAACATCCTCACTTTCAGAGATAGTATCACTAACATCCTCACCTTCAGAGCTAGTATCACCATCATCCTCACTTTCAGAGCTAATATTACTAACATCCTCATCTTCAAAGCTAGTATCACCATCATCCTCACTTTCAGAGCTAATATTACTAACATCCTCATCTTCAAAGCTAGTATCACCATCATCCTCACTTTCAGAGGAATCTAGTATCATCAGAGCTAGTATCACCTAAAAAAACGTTCAAAACTAAAAACTGAATCTTTATTTATATTATTATATGAAAATTTCTTTATTTTCTAATTTTTGAACATATCTTCTATATATTTGAGATCTTCTATCTTTAACTCACCTAACTTCTTCATTGTATCAGTGAAACAAATAAAACTGTCAAACTCGAAAGGATCAATGTTATCCAGCATATTGCGTCCATCATCAATATTGGAATTACGGTTAAAGCTTGTGGTACATAATCCCTCTGTCTCATTGCCAACATCCTTACTTTCACAGCTAGTATCACCATCATCCTCACTTTCAAAGCTAGTATCAACTAAAAAAACGTTCAAAACTAAAAACTGAATCTTTATTTATATTATTATATGAAAATTTCTTTATTTTCTAATTATCAAACATATCTTCCATATATTTGAGATCTTCTATCTTTAACTCACATAACTCACATAACTCCTTCAATGTATCAGACAAAGAAATAGGAATGTAGTGTAACGTGAAAGAATCAATGTTATCCAGCATATTGCGTCCATCATCAATATTGAAATTATGGTTACAGCTTGTGGTACGTAATCCCTCTGTCTCATTGCCAACATCTTTACTTTCACAGCTAGTATCACCATCATCCTCACTTTCAGAGTTAGTATCAGCTAAAAAAACGTTCAAAACTAAAAACTGAATCTTTATTTATATTATTATATGTGAAAATTTCTTTATTTTCTAATTATTGAACATATCTTCCATATATTTGAGATCTTCTATCTTTAACTCACATAACTCCTTCAATGTATCAGGCAAAGAAATAGGACTGTGGTCTAACTCGAAAGGATCAATGTTATCCAGCATATTACGTCCATCATCAATATTGAAATTATGGTTACAGCTTGTGGTACGTAATCCCTCTGTCTCATTGCCAACATCTTTACTTTCACAGCTAGTATCACCATCATCCTCACTTTCAGAGTTAGTATCAGCTAAAAAACGTTCAAAACTAAAACTGAATCTTTATTTATATTATTATATGAAAATTTCTTTATTTTCTAATTATCAAACATATCTTCCATATATTTGAGATCTTCTATCTTTAACTCACATAACTCCTTCAATGTATCAGTGAAACAAATAAGATTGTGGTGTAACTCTAAAGGATCAATGTTAACCAGCATATTGCGTCCATCATCAATATTGAAATTATGGTTACAGCTTGTGGTACGTAATCCCTCTGTCTCATTGCCAACATCTTTACTTTCACAGCTAGTATCATTAACATCCTCACTTTCAGAGTTAGTATCAGCTAAAAAAACGTTAAAAACTAAAAACTGAATCTTTATTTATATTATTATTATATAAAAATTTCTTACTTGATGTTCTCAATTCTTGCCTATATAATAAATCCTCAATTCTAATGGAAGTGAGATAAGCAATAGTGTTGTTAAACTTGTAAGGTTTAGTGTTATTCAGCATATTGCATTCATCATCAATATTGGAATTACGGTTAAAGCTTGTGGTACGTAATCCTTCTGTCTCATAGCCACCATTCTTACTTTCACAGCTAGTATCACCATCATCCTCACTTTCAGAGCTAGTATCACTAACATCCTCACCTTCCGAGCTAGTATCACCATCATCCTCATTTTCAGAGCTAGTATCAGCTAAAAAAAACGTTTAAAACTAAAAACTGAATCTTTATATTATTATTATATGAAAATTTCTTACTTGATGTTGTATTGTTGGCTTCATTATTACTCATCAAATTTTCCACATCTTTGAGATCTTCTATCTTTGGCAATGTAAGAAATTCCCATAGATATTTGCTCTTAGCACCACTGTTATTGCCAGATTCTTTATAATAGTTTACAAATGGATTATAAGTAGCACCAATGGCATCTCGTCGAGAAGGTATAGAAACTGTATGATCTGCTCCTTTATTAAGTTTTTGAATCAGGTAACGACAATTTGATCGAGGTCCTTGAAAACATATCTAGAAATAAAAATGAAATTTAATCATAAAATATATTGAAAATTATTATGAATACTTAATAAGCAATTAATTATTATTATAATTATTATCATTAATGTTTAACCCCTTAACTGTGAGTGACGCACATATGCGCAGAAAAAAGTCGTGCCATTTTTGTCTCATGACGCATATGTGCGCATTTGAAAAAAACATGTTTATACTTCATCGATTCGATTGTAAATAAATCAATGAAAATTTTTTTCCAAGACAAAAATGGCACGAAAAGCTTATTTTCGCCTCACTGCTAAGGGGTTAAATATGTACCTGCTTTACAGAGCTCTTTACATGGCACACCTGGCAAGTCCATTTGGATAAATTTTTATTTATATGCACCTGTAAGAATGCAAAAATATAAGATAAAGAATAAAGTTATAGTAAATATTAATATTAATCATTTTTTATATTTTTTGCTTACTTGATACATTTTGCAGGAATCACAACGTAAAACGATCATTTTTTGCGACAATTTTATTTGTTGCGGCAATCTGGTTCTTGTTCGCAACAATTCTCTTTCTTGCGACTCTTTCTTCAATAAAGACGGAGCTAACCCGAGCTCGTGTGGGCTCAACCTACGTGTTCTTTTAGGTTCTGGACGAGCAACGCGTAACTTTAACGACGATATCACCGGTGACGATATTGTCCAGCTCATCTTTCTCTCTGATTGAATATAAATCTGTTGAAACTTGAAAACAAAATTATAACAGAGCACGGACGTCTTCTTCTTGTTTATCGTTTGTAACTGAATTCCTTTAACGTCTTCTTTTTCTGATATTGCTGCTTGAGCGTGAGTTTCTATCAATGGTTTGGAGTTTGGAAAGAACGTGGACGCACCGGATGCAAACTTAGGAAACAAAGGTTTCTCCCTGTAAGAAATATTTCCTTCTTCCGTTGTCCTTTACAATCAAATCTCTAACAAGTGCAGCCAATATACAAGAGTTACGCATGCCTGTATGCAACATAAAAAAACTGAATACATGGAGAGTGGACTTTTTACGAACAAACTTCTATTATAGTTATAATCATAATTATGATAATAAATTAATCAGGGTTGTAACAAGTTACTTGTAACGAAGTTACAGTTACAGTTACTTTTTTTCGGTAACTATAACTTAACTTCGTTACTTTTCTCCATCTGTAACTGTAACTGTAACTTAGTTACATTTTTTTAGTAACTAGTAACTATTTTAATAGTTACTTTATTAGTTACTTTTTTGGAAACATGCGCTAAAAGTATTGTTTAACAGTAGCATATGGATCTTCATATGATTTAATCTTTTACCTAAAATTTTCATTTTGTGTACATAAAATAATATAACACATAATTAAGATCGACCAATTACAGTCAAATATTTAAAAAAATTCTTAAAGGTAATAATTGATCGATTTGCTTGCGACTTTGCGATTACCATTTAGTAACTTACTATAACTATTTTTACTGTTGTATATAAAGGTCATTCATACATTGATGTTAATTGCAAAGTCGCAAGCAAATCGATCAATATTACATTCAAGAAATTTTTTTAAATACTTGACTGTAATTGTGCATAAAATGTAAGCTCCTTATATTTAAAACAATGTATAATTATTTTTAAAAAGTAACTGAAAAGTAACGACTCGTTAGTAACTGTAACTGTAACGAGTTATTTTTTAAAATTGGTAACTTGTAACTGTAACTAGTTACTTTTTCAATGAAATAACTGTAACTGTAACTAGTTACTTTTACAAAGTAACTTTCCCAACCCTGATATTATTATATATATATATATATATATATATATATATATATATATATATATATATATATGCAGAGGAAAACTAAATATTTATTGAAACCAAATTTAAAGAGAAATCTTATATTGCTTTAAATAAAGTATATAATATTACATTAATAATGTCTCAAAAAATATATACATATTTAATATAAGAACTGTATTAATATAAGAACTATATTATTTTATAAAGATAATATTAAAACTTTTAAATTGATGTTTCATATAATTTATTTCAATTCTATTGCGCAATCTGGCAAAGCTTCTGCAAGTTCTTTCCTAAGCAAAGCTTTATCCTCCAAATATGGCATCCCAGCAAGCTTTAAAGTCTTCAGGTTTCTGTAAAATACAAAAACAAAACTTTATATTTGAAAACTGAATATTTTTATAATTTGAAAATGTTACGAAAAAATAGCCATAATATCATATATCTTATTAACAATTCAAATAACAAACTGATATCATTAAACGTCAAAATGATGTACATTTGCTATCTGGGAATATAATTATGAAATACATACTTTAGATTTTTCAAACTACGCACTCCTTGATCAGTTATACTCTTACAATCTCTAATTTCAAGTGTTGTCAAGGTATCCTTCACTGCTGATAACAATGGCAGAGCATGATCATATAAGTAAATACATTTTACAAATTTCATCTCATCAATATACCTGCAACCAACTAAATTTCTATCAGTAGAGTAAAAATATTATAAAAATATTGTAGGAATAAATATTGCATAATTACATATATACTATTTGACAATTAATTTACAATAAGTGAATAAATGAGTCGAGCATACAGTTTATATTTTGTAATATCAAATATTAACATACTACATAAGCTGTTCTATATATTAAAAATCTTAAAAGTCTATTAAAATATTGTTTTAACAATATCAAATATATTATCATTGTTAAAGATCCTTTCTCAGGATATTTCATTGCAAATAATTAAATTTGATACCAAAATGTGGAAATCCAACATGAGTTACTCCAGAGTCGGTAGCATCTACAGCTTGAATGTAATATTGACTTTTTTCCGATGATAAACTATTATAATCTTTCAAATATTGTGTAACATTTTTCCATCTGACACTTGCACCATTCCTTAAAAGCCATTCAGCACATGCACGATCTGGACCAACTGATCGGATTCTTTCTTGATCAACTCTTAAAATTATTACTTATTATTAGCTTAAAAATGATGTATAAGCAAGTAATTTCACATAATACTCCAATATAATAATTTACATATAAATACCTGTTAAATATTACTGTTAACCAATAAAAAAATCCTCTATCAGGTACTTTTTTGCAATGATTTATGGTAACTGACATTCTATTTAATATCTGTAACATTCATATAACATTTACTTACAATATAAAGAATAATTGAGAAAAATAAATCCATATATTTGCACACACACATATTGCCTTTTCATTCATGCAATTGTTTTTAAAAGTTAAAATAAAGTATAAAAATTAAAAATTTCACATAATCTGCATAAAAGATATAAAAAAATAATAAATAGCAACAAATATCATACATGTAATGCCATTGTTTATGTTTATTATTTCGACACTGTGCAATCAGCTGATCACAACAAGGGAATCTTTGCTTCACCCTAATTGGTCAATAAAATGTTGCTCTGTGATAACATATATTTGAACGCACTTCGGACAAGGCAGATCGAATTAGGTTGCCTAGACTGCTTTTCTATAACTGTGCATGCGCGTCACTGACGCGGAAGAATCGCGCGGGAGAACGGTCGAGAAACAGTCCAGAGTCACGAAAATAATGTGAGTATATTTAATATAAAGATTTAACTTTTGAATTTTTCATATTTACCGTTCATATTTTGTATATTTCGAAGCATAGAAATTGAATTAATCTCTCAATGCACTTTAATTTCTTGATAAACTTATTTGTTTAATCATTGCGCCCGACATTACGGTTGCGTGGAGTTCACTTGATGAAACTGTCGCACGTTTGATAGTTTTCTTTATATTTTAATATAAATTGCCTTATAATTACGCAATATTTATTCTCGGGCACTACATTTCTCGGTGAGAACTCGCAAATAAAAAAATATATATATATATATATATATATATCGGGAATACTGAAAAAATATTGAAAATATATCATTAAGTGTATCAGAAATGTCGAGAAAAATATCGTGACTGTTAAGAAAATATTAGGTTGCAGTCTTATATGCATAAACATAATATAAATAACAAATACAATACAATTTTATCGATATAATATACGCTTGCGACAGTTTTGTCAAGAAAACTCCGCGCGACCGTAGCTTGAAATTATTGTCTACAAATAAGCATATAGCATCGAAAATATTGAGAAAAGTCATCAATATGCCGAGAAAAGATAATCGGACAATCCTATAATATATATTATTTAAATGAATTTCAATAAATGTTCGTCTATTTCAAGAATGTGTACATTTTAATGATATATCCATTAAATACTCGTGAATTATGTATACAAAATTTTTCATTAAAATTATAACAAGAATTTAAGGCATATTTGAGGTACATAAGATATTTATTCATATATTTAATATCACAAATGATTGATTATTATATAAATATATATTCTTTATATCTTAATTATATACTAATTTTTAGAATATTTTGATTTTATTCCTATTCAGAATCAGATGCTAATCTTTTTAAATCTGTGTCAGAGAAATTATAAAAATGCCAGTGGCCAACTGTTTCTGAAGTTAGATCATTAGCTCTCAAGTATTTTGTAAAACTCTCGTGCTGGATTCCACTTGAGAACCATAAAATTCAACTTGCTGCAATTATTCTCCACTGCTTCCTGCAAAGATTTTGCAATCAGATTCATGTCGCATATCTAATTCTAGATTAAACATACTTTTGCGACAGCTTTCAGAAGCTTGGTGCCACAACATGTTTTCCTCGGAACTCTGGTGTCACATAAATATCCTCCAGATACATAGCTTTTCCACGCCATGTAGAATAAATATAATAAAAGATAGTATAACCAATAACCTTCTCATTGGATGTTTGCCACATTGCAGAGAAATAATGGTTGCCCATCGAAGCCATCTCTTTCTAAAGCTAAATATATATATATTTTTTTTTCATGATATAGAGTCATCTTTTTAGACAATTTATGACTGTAATAACATACAAATGTATATAATCTCACTTTTATAATCAATTTTTGGTCCATCAGGCATCTTCTCATAGTCTGCTAATTCCTGTAAAACAATATCTTTTATGTTATCTAAAATATTTCTTTGTTATCAGTAAAATTTACCTGTATAAGTGTCCTGATAGTTTGGCAATCTTCGCGTCTAGCTCTCCGTATAATTATTTCAGTCATCATTAAGTAATGTGATAGATTCTCTGGCTTTCTAAATATTATATAATCACTGTAAATATTTTAAAATATTAAAAATATGTAACATAAAGGAATAATCTGACAATATATAAATTATATGTATATAATATATATATATACACATAATTTATATACCTATAATATATATATATATATATTATATTGTACATAAAATATATAATCACTATAAATATTTAAAAATATTAAAAATATGTAGCATAAATATATATATATAAAATTTATTGTACGTACAATTTATACATATATAATCACGTGAGTCTTCAGCTATAACGAGTTGTTACTTACATATCTATACTAATTTACATTGTACAAGTGTAATTATATATGATGTGTAAGTCCTTATCTTTTATCATTTATTTTTTATAAATAAGGTGCTCGAGTTATTAACGATTGGTCACGTCAATATTTTCCGTCTTTCTGTCAAAGTGCACTCCTGTGCTTCTCTGTCGCAAGAGGGCTCGCGCAATCGCGAGGGTCGCATTTTAGGTTAACATTTGTATGTGGCCGGCTGTTTCAAGCATCAAAACAACTCGAGAAATTTTTACATTCTAGCGATCGCTCCTGACGCCTTTAAATCGACGTACAAGTTGAAATAATTGAGACAACATGAGCCGCAGGAAAAGAGCGAAGGTGCGTGCTTTTATTTCTTTCAGATTCATTATGATAATGTTTTGTATATTTGTGCTTACGAATGTCGATATCAATCAACGTAACGATAAGATTGTGATGCTGTCATTTTTCGCGCGATCATGTGTTATTATTCTTTTACTATTGCGATAATAAATCAGACGAATAAATTTTCTTTTTGCAATTTTTTATGATTTTTTGCAAATTTTCTTTTCTTCATGCTAGGGAGGCTATGTTTTGATTGTGTATATGTTCAGATTTTTATCTGGTTATTATTTTATCATTCTACAAAGCATTATTTAAATCTTTTCTTTAAAAAGATCTTTCTTTATTTATTAAATTTTTATAATATCTCTAATTTTATAATACAGCTATATTTTGTATATATCTTGTGCGAGAAAATATATCTAATTATTAGCTAGAGTACATAGAATGAAAAAAAAAAAAAAAATAAATAAAATTAGAAGATGAGAATGCTTCGAAATTTTTTCATACTTTTTATATTTATATGCAGTTATTAATATTGATTTTATACAGAAAATATAATTATAGGTGGAGTACAGAGAAATGGGGAAAAATATAATCAGTTGGAAGATGAGAATGCCTCGGATACATCAGAGAAATCTAAAACTCTGGTCTTGTACGCCAGAGAAGAAAGTTTCCCTGAAGTGAAAAAGAATCTGAATCTACGGTGCCTGCACCTGTACCTTCCGCTTCAAAAAGTGAAGTCAAAGAGGAAGATGAGCAAGACAGTGATCATGAAGATCCACATGGTATTTTTCTTTTTATAAAAAGTTATTTAAATTTTACAGTGTTGATGCAAACAATTAATTTTGTTTTTACATAGTGAAGGAATTATGAATGGCTTGGAAGGTGGCAGCTTTCAAAGTCGCCTTCCATTGACAAATTGACATCTACCGAAGCTGCATGTTTTCCTGATGTTTCTGGTGGACCACCGCAAACACAGAAAGTCTTCCTACACATCAGGAACAGACTTGTAAGTATGTAAATTATAAGCTATGAAATTTTGTTATTCCTTTTCTAATTTGATCTTATATTTTAGTTACAAATATGGTTGGAAAATCCTAAACAACAATTGATCATCGAGAGTGGCATTACCACAAGTTGAGCCACCTTATAATAGCGACACTGTGCTTACTCGTAGGATTCATGCCTTTTTAGAACGACATGGTTTTATAAACTTTGGAATCTTTAAACGCATAAAGGTAATTTAATAAACATATAAATTACATTATTATTTTGAACAGAATAATGCCATGTATTTATTTCATTTTAATACTAGATTAATATTATAATTTTATTATATTATATATATAGACATTAGTTGTTACTAAAAAAATTATAATTATTAATATTTATATTTGCTTGTTGCAGTCCTTACCGACCAAAAATTAGGTAAAGTCATTGTAATCGGTGCTGGTATTGCTGGGTTAGTGCTGCAGCTCAGCAGATGCAACAATTTGGCTTAGAAGTATTGTCTTGGAAGCTAGAGTAAGTTGTCAATTAACTATTTCATTTTATTTTAACTTATCTTTAGCTTTGTATAAATTAATTTTCCTAAACTATTATTAATTTCTGTTTAGGATCGTGTTGGTTGGTCGAATCGCTACATTTCGTAAATCAAATTATATTGCGGATTTGGGAGCTATGGTGGTCACAGGTTTAGGTGGAAATCCTGTAACGACGCTTAGTAAACAAATTAATATGGAACTACATAAAATTCGACAAAAGTGTCCATTGTATGAAAGCGATGGTCAAACGGTATGTTTAAAATATTTTATTAAAATAATTCAATATACATATAATATATATCTCATTTTTATTACTATTATATATTATAAAATATAATGCAGTTATTATTATAACTGTTTTAAACACAAGAAAAATTAAAGATTTTCCTATATATTATTGTACTATTAATATGTACATAAATATATACTAATTATATATCAAAGTATAAATAAAATATGTATTATATTTGTTGCAGGTTCCAAAAGATAAAGATGAAATGTTGAAAGAGAGTTTAATAGATTACTGGAAGCCACCTCTTATCTTTCGCATCACTAGATTTTTTATGTAAACAGTGCAGGATCTGGAGGACAAAGCGGTAATACACGTCCAGTGTCTTTGGTCAAGCATTAGAATGGGTAATACGTTTTTCAAGAACAAGGTGTAAAACAACGCCAAGTAGCGCATTTGCGCTCTGTACTCCTCCTTGCAAGGACGATTAGTTACTAATCAACACAGAGTATGTACAATTAAACATTTTTTAATTAAATACATATTTTTAATGTGTACACACGAGATAATATAATAAATTGCATAAATGTATGAAATTATATGATTAAATTGTAATTTAATTTTTGTAGATGATTTCCATATGGATCGTTTGGTGAACTGAATAAACAATACAAAGAAATGACGGAAAGTAAATTACAACTCGAGATATAACGCAAGAGTT